GGGAAAATGTTTTCGGTTGGGGGTGCTGTGTGTGTCCGTGTTGGGTGAAGGGGGGTTGGTTCACTTACGTCGGTGCTGGGGCTGGTGTTGTTTGATACCACGCGCTAGCGTCACGTGTTCATGAGGATTAGGCTAATCATCCCATATAGAAAACATCACAAGTAAAATTAATCATGTTTATAAAGATAAACATGGGTTTATTATAACCCACTTACAATTTACATGTCAGAGATCATTACAAATAAATTATTAAATGCTAAAACTGAATAAATTTAAATGAAGTTGTATTTGCAACCATGTGAAAACAGGGGGTGCTGCAGCCCCCTCAGCACCCCTACTTCCCGCGTCCCTGGTTCGAACTCTTCCAGATGGGCAATGGAGGGATCCAGACAGGATCAAGACATGTACGCCAGCCCCATTCATAAAAGCAGAGTGTCTGTTTATACAGGAATCTGACAACCATCCAGCATCCTCACTCCCCCTGAGGAGGTAAGAGAGGCCATGCTAGGAAAAGGGCTCGAGCTTTTAGGGCAAAAAGAGAGTAGGTAGCTTTCCTCTGTAGCTTGCTCAGTACATCTTATGAATTATTGAGAAAGAAAAATATATGTTGGGTGGATGGAATGGGAGATGTGTAGCATTAGTAGTTTGCCCCATTTTCCCTCTAGCTTGTTAAAAGCAATTGTCCAACCAATTTGTCATTCTGCCCAAAACGTCTCCTCCAGCAAATGCTGACGAGAAATAGAGGGAGGTGGCATGAAGATGAATGTCCTCCCCAACTACCTGCCCAAACCTCACATTTCGTTTAACAAATGATAAACAAAGCAAAACAAACTTGACTCCATATTGAGCTCCAGTCCAGGTGTTTGAATCACATGTTCTGATGAAAAGAACCCATACCCACTTTCAGGACAGTTCGATTAGCAGCTTGTTAGCATTATCCTGACACTCGCACCTTAAACAACACTTATTTTAATTCATAATGAGGTGTTGTTAATATCTGTTGTGCACTGTTATAAAAAGTAACCATTTACGTTAACAACATTCATTGAATATGTGAGTGTGAATTACACCCAAAACAAGCAAATCTATTTATTCAGCTTTAGCTTGTTATGATCTTGAAAACTTCTCATATAGCAACTTTTATCAGCAGATGCAGATGACAGGACGATGCGTCTGTTCTCTAACACATGCTGGGTCACACGTTTCGAAATGCCAAAACACATACATCTTGTGATCTGATTTATTATGTGTGACAAGCACACTTGATACCAGATAAAGCTGCTCATTTGATATGATGTAAACTAAGGGGTCCAGGTTTGGGTGGTTAGCATAGCCTAGTTAGCCCCTGCTGATAGATGTCATAACTTATTTGGCTGCCAAAAAAGATTTATATTTGATGGTATGTTCTAGCTGTATATTCTACTGAAACAAACATGTTTGCAAGCAAGATTAAACACATACAGTATATTTCATTGGATCATCAGCCAATCAGCATTGTCTTGACATCATTTTCAGTCACATGGCTGGGGTAACAAGCTCAAAAACACCTGGCAGCAGAACTGAGCGCCCATGAGCGTCTTTACTTCCGGGGGGTCCCGCAACAGCTGATCAACTGCCATAGATATGGATGGTAATGCTAACAGTTAACATTCTCTAGGTATTATATATACCCTTGTGGTTAAATATATTTTCTGATAAGGATGATGCATGCACTATCTCTATATTGTGCCCTTGAGTAAAGCACTTAACCCCAGGTTGTTTTAGAGGAACTGTGTGCATTGTAGAGTAAGTTGCTTGGGAGTAAAATAGATAAAAGGCTTCATAATTATTGTGGGGAAACAAATTTACCATTTTATCTTGCAAATCAAACAAGGTTTACAAGGTTGCAGCAGGTTTATTATAGTCTAAAACTAAATTATAAAATATTTTTGTTTCTTAAAATAAAACGAATGTTAACAGAACTATACAGAAAGCCTTTTTTTTTTTACATGGTTTGTCCGCATTTTATGCAGATTACTAGCTGCTGGCATGCATCTCCTCGTTATAAATAATCTGGATATGTCAACATTCATAAACACATTGGTTTTTGGTCCACCTAAAATTGAAGAGAGGAGCAATGCGTTTGTACTTTCATTGGACAACCTTGTTATTCCACTGAAGATGCCCAGCGTCCATTTGAAAGAAAAACGTGTTTAAAAAGAGCTTCATAATGAGATTTTTTAGCCTCAGGCCATGAGCTATTGGCTGATCAGTGGCAATCAGCAAAAGCTGATGCATTACTGTAATTTCCTTTGATTTGCAGTGAATTTGATCATACAAGCACTATAAATCTCTGGGAAGCAGCAGAGAAGCAGCCTGGGTTGCAATCATGCCTTTTTGATGACCTTCTATTGTATAAGGAGTAGGAAGAGAAATGGAGATGAATGGCCACAGTATGTTATTTATATATATGACTGTGTTATTTACAGAGCCCTGGTGGGGAGGGTATCTCCAATAATGCAAGGATAGTTTAACTTAATGTATTCCAGATGAAATCACGCTCTGACATTATAGAAATATTTCCTTTAGGAACTGAAATGATTGTGGATATCTCACCAAGGCAACATGACAAAGTACATCTGCTTTAAAGGGAGAGTTCACATAAAAGTTAACATTCTGCCTTCCTTTAGACAGGGAACGCTGTTAGAACGTTCAGTAAGGTTGTCTCGAAGTTATGAACAAACATTACTTTTTTTTTTAGAATGTTCATTCAAAGTTACTGGTCTTTAATAAGCACAAAATGCTATTTATGTCATTCATGGAACATTTTTCTAAAACATTTTAGTTATTAGTGCTGTCAAATGATTAGGGTTGCAAAAAGGTGGAAGATTTCCAGTAAATTTCGGAAACATTCCAGAATTTATTTTTTAATACTCCAGGGATTTGGGGAAAGTTTACGAAAATTTACCGGAAATTTACCACCCCTTTGCAACCCTACAAATGATTAATCGCATCCAAAATAAATGTTTATAAAATAAAAATAAAACGTTATATACATAATAAATATACACAGTACACATACATATATTATGTAAACAAAAACTTTTATTTTGGATGCGATTAATCTCGATTAACAGCACTAGTTTGACAGCACTAGTTATACATTACATCTCATTTACATATCGACCAACGCAATATACCAAGCGCAGCACAAATTAGCATAGTCGCAAATATAGAATAAAGAAATAAATAAGCCACAGAACGTTGAAAAGAACTGGATGCCAAAAGAATGAAGGGTTGCAAAAAGTTTTGATAGACCTTGTCCACGCCTTTTCAGCGCTAATTCTTCACTGTGCATCTTTAGTAAATCCTGATAATATTATTTTAATGCCAAAAGACAGTGTGCGCTGGTGCAAGCTGTTAGTAAAACTGGCCCTAAGCGTATCCCATCATGCATCATGTTCAGGAACTCACGTGCCCCAAAATTACAAGATGTTGAGGAAAACATCCCACTGTAAGTTTAATTAATTAGATATTACATACAATTTGGTAGTAAAACATAAAGTGTGGCACTTTTTTGTGCTTTTTTTGTGTATTTTGTATTGCATTTGTGATTGCTTTTTATAACTTAATTAGAAGCATCACAATTACTAAATGTTACATAGGGATTACTGAACAGATATTTAGATTTTTTTTTTAAATGCAAAGTATTAAAGCTCTGTAAGCTGCTGTATTTTTACAACACTATAAGTGTGTCCCCTCAGGTAATCAAAAGTTCTACACACACTTGTGGTCTTCACACCCATTTGAACTCTTGGGCCAAATACAGGAAATACATTATGTAAATATACAAATGTTTAAGTGCCACGACCACAAGTGTGGGTATTCCTTTAGTGGACTTTGCTATCCTAGGTACTACCAAAAGTCCAGAGTTTTGCGACCTTAGGGAGCGTGATGGATTGTTGATGGATGGATATATTTACATGATTATGTAAATATACAAATGTTTAAGTGCCACGACCACAAGTGTGGGTATTTGGACGGGCCCTACCACAGGCAAAACAAGGAAATACAAACTAAACAGTCCAATGAACTAAATCCAAACATTACACATATTAAGACAATATGAAAATAAAATTAAAAAATTAAAAAAAAATTAAAATGTGAAAGTGTCTCTCTTGATTTGTTAACAAAAAAAAAATCTTAAAACTCAATTCAGTACCATTAATATAACCATTAATAAGGTGACAGTCTTTCTGATAAGGGTAAATTTTATACATTTTCTCAGTGTTACTGCAGTTTAATCAAATGTTGCTGTTCTCATTAACAGCCTGTATACCATCTATTTCTGATGAGCTTTTAAAGAGCTTTGACAGACTGCAGTGCTCACAGTTTTTAAACCAAATGTCATTTCACTGTAAAACAGTTTGCTAAGAGGCCTACTTATTAATTCAAAAGAGAAAGACATTTTATTTCTAGGAGCTAGTTGTACTCTGGCTTCTAATGGCAAGTTTATTGCAGTAAATAGATGGCAGGCGAATCTGACTGCTTAATTTGAGTGAGTTCCAATAACGCACTAAAAGTTACTTATGAATGAGAGAGCGTTAAACATTAAGAGCGATTTAAATGCAAGTTAAACACGCAATACACATTGTTTTGGGTAATTACTTGTATGTCTGCAGCTCACCGTGGGAACACTATGGGCAGCCCAATGTCGTATGGCTCTGTCGACATGTGTGGGTAATTATAAGGTAGCTCAGTCTGCGTTGTGACAGACTCATAATGATTGAGTCAGACAACTCTTAGTGGAACTGCAGGCAGACTGATTGCCTGTTCCCTCTCCATCAGAGACCAGTTAGGAAAAGACCTGCCAAATAGCCATTCGCAGCTGTCTCGGAATGAACTCGGAGCCAGGATGTTATCTTTAGCTAAATCTCTTTTGCAGTACAAATTAAATATATCAGCATAACAATTTGATAAAGTTGAATTGGAAAAGCTGCAGTACTATTCAAACGTTTGAGGTTTGTTAGAACATCTTATTTGATAAAAAAAAAAAAAAACAGTAAAGTAATACTGTGAAATATTATTACAATTTAATATAAATAAATAATCTATTTTAATATATAATAACATGTCATTTATTCCTGTGATGGCAAAGCTGAATTTTCATCAGCCTTCAGTGTCACATGATCCTTCAGAAATCATTCTAATATGCTGATTTGCTGCATTTATTATTATTATCAGTGTTGAGAACAGTTGTTCTACTTAATATTTTTATGGAAACTGTGATACATTTTTTAAAGATTCTTTGATTAATTGAAAGTTTTAAATATTTTTTAACATTTATTTGATAAATATTTTATATATTTATAATATTTTACAAATATTTTGTAACATTATAAATGTCATTACTGTCACTTATGATCAATTAAGTGAACCCTTTCTAAAAATGA